AAAAAAAAAAAAAACCTGCAAAATAAATAAATAAATGAGGAAAAAATAATACAAAGCAAATTTGTTACAATTATATGGAGGTTTAAGAGCAGGGCTTCTAGAGAAACTGGCTTTGCTATTTTCTAGTTAGTTGACCTGGGCAGCAAATTATTTAACTTCTCTGTGCCAGTTTCCTCGGCTGTAGAGGGTTTGATACCTAACACCTGAGGAAGTTGATGTGAGAACATAAGTAATGCATACTATGGCTCTTGAACACAGTACCTTGTGTGCAGTAAGCATTCAGTGCCAGCCTACTATTATTAGCAATTACTATAATTCCACTTTTATCAAACTGGGTATCTTTATTAATCCATAAGCTCCTTAAATGGAGACAAAATTTAACAAACAAAACAAACATACTGTCAGTGTTTTAAAACTATACACCCAATTGTGAACTAGAACTTAACCTTCATCTCCTTGCTTCTTCCTCTCTCCTATCCCCCCTTTTGGAATTATTTGAAGGCTATCACTACTTGTTCAGCAACTCCAGCAGTAAGGAACACTCTATAATAAATCCATTGTAATAGTCACTACATATTACTTTTTAAAACTGGATATAAAAATATTTGACTAGAACAACAATTTTGGAATACTCATTCATTACAATTATCTAAACCTTTTCTAGTCTCAAGTGGATTTAGTAATCAAACATTAACTCTAAAAAGAGAATAATTTTTGCATCTTTGCCATATCACCTACTTAGAAAATAGTCTTTAGTCTTCAAGGCAAAAATAAACAAAAAATAATAGTGTATTATATAGGCAAAAGATGTATATTACTCTACTATCATGTTTTCATATAGAATGCTGAAAAAGATATTCTTTAGCTTTTATTTTTATATCCTTGGCTTGATTCAATTTGGTCAAATACATTTGATCCCATTTTGAGATACATTATAAAGTTAAAAAATAAAAGTAACACAGTAATTTAACTTTGAGTGGTTTTTGTTTGTTTGAGACTGGGTCTTGCTTTATTGCCCTTGCTAGGATGTAGTGAGGTCATCACAGGTCACCGTAACCTCAAACTCCTGGGCTGAAGAACTCCCCTGCCTCCTGAGCAGCTAGGTCTACAGGCAAATGCCACATGGCCAGCTAATTTTCCTATTTTTGTTGTTGTTATTGTTGTTGTTGCTGTTGTTGCAGTTTGGCCAGGGTCAGATTTGAACCCGCCACCCTCGGTTTATGGGGCCAGGGCCCTACTCACTGAGCAACAGGTGCCACCCTAATTTTTCTATTTTTTGTAGAGAATGGATCTCACTCTTGCTCAGGCTAGGCCTGACCTCAAGCAACCCTCCTGCCTCAGCCTCTGAAAGTGCTTACTGGAGTGAACCAATGGACCTGGCCTGAACTTTTGTTGCTTTTTTTTTTTAGGCAGAGTCTCACTTTGTTGCCCTCAATAGAGTGCCATAGTGTCACAGCTCACAGCAACCTCAAACTCTTGGGCTTAAGCTATTTTCTTGTCTCAGCCTCCCAAGTAGCTGGGACTCTGGTGCCCACCACAACACCCAACTATTTTTAGAGACTGGGTCTCACGCTTGCTCAGGCTGGTCTAGAACCTGTGAGCTCAGGCAATCCACCCACCTCAGCCTCCCAGAGTGCAAGGATTATAGGTGTGAGCCACCACACCTGGCCAAACAGAAGACCTAAACTTTTTTAAAAGAAGATGATTTAGGCTCTGGGTCTGTGGCTCAAGCGGCTAAGGCGCCAGCCACATACACCTAAGGGGGCAGGTTCGAATCCAGCCTGGGCCTGCCAAACAACAATAATGGCTGCAACCAAAAATATAGTCAGGCGTTGTGGCGGGCACCTGTGGTCCCATCTACTTGGGAGGCTGAGGCAGGAGACTTGCGTGAGCCCAGGAGTTGGAGGTTGCTGTGAGCAGTAAAGCCATGGCACTCTACCCAGGGGGACAGCTTGAGGCTCTGTCTCAAAAAAAAAAAAAAAAAAAGGAGATGATTTATAGAGATATAATTCACATACCATATAATTCACCAATTTAAATCGTATAATCTAGTGGTTTTTAGTATTTTCAGACATGTGCAACCATCACCATAATTAATTTTAGAACTTTTTCTTCATCTCAAAAAGAAACTGGGTATCCTTCATGTATTACCCCCCCTCAATCCCCACCCCATAGCCCAAAGTAAACCACTAATCTATTTTCCGTCTCTATAGATTTCCCTATTTTGACTTCCAAATGAATAGAATCATGTAATATACACTTTTGTGACTGGTTTCTTTCAGTTAGGATGATCTTTTCAAAGTTCATCCAGGCTGTGGCATGTATCAGTGTTTCAATCCATTTTATGGACATTTATCTACTCATCCTTTGATGGATATCTGGGTTTCCATTTTGGGGCTACTATGAATGCTGCTATAAACATCCATATATACATTTTTTTCACATATAAATTTCTATGAACCTATATTTTCATTTTTTTTTCACATATAAATTTCTATGAACCTATATTTTCATTTCCCTTGTGTATATACCAAACTGTGGAACTGATGTGTCAGATTAATTTTGTTTAATTACTTTAGAAACTGCCAGACTATTTTCTAAAATGGCTGCCCCAGTTTACATTAGTAATTGCCAGCAGTAAATGAGAGTTCTGATTTCTCCATGTCCCTACCAAAGCTTATTATCTTTTTGATTCTAGCCAAACAGTTGGATTTTTTTTTTTTTTTTTTTAAGTTTTGGCCAGGGCTGGGTTTGAACCCGCCAACTCTGGCATGTGGGGCTGGAGCCCTACTCCTTTGAGCCACAGGTGCCGCCCCATCCAGTTAGATTTAAAATGGTTAAATCCAACTGGATTATGGTCTGATTATGGTCTTGATTTCTATTTCCCTGATCACTAACTATTGAGCATCTTTTCATGTACATAACTGGCTATTTATCTTTTTTAGAGAAATGTCTCTTCAGATTCTTTGCACACTTTTTAATTGCGTTGTCTATTATTGAGTCTAAGAGTTTTTAATATATTCCAGGTAGAAGTCCCTTATCAGAAATGATTTGCAAATATTTTTTCCCATTGCATGGGGTATCTTTTCACTTTCCTGATGGTGTCCTTTCAAGCACAAAAGTTTTCCATTTTGATGAAGTCTGACTTATCTCTTCATTTGTTGCTCATGCTCTTGATGTCATATCTGAGAAATCCTTGCCAAATTCAGAGTCATAAAGATCTAACCCTATGTTTTCTTCTAAGAGTTTTTGTAGCTTGCATGTTAGCTTTTGCAAGTGGCTACCCAGTTGTCACAGCACCATCTGTTGAAAAGACGGACTATGCTCTTCCCATTGAATAATCTTAACACACTTATTAAAAAACATTTGACCAGGGCAGCACCTGTGGCTCAAAGGAGTAGGGTGCCAGCCCCATATGCCAGAGGTGGCACGTTCAAACCCAGCCCCAGCCAAAACCTGCAAAAAAAAAAAGAAAACAAAATTTGACCTTTGACCAAAGGCAGGTGCGGTGGCTCAGGCCTGTAATCCTAGCTCTCCGGGAGGCTGAAGTAGGTGGACTGCCTGAGCTCAGAAGTTTGGGACCAGCCTCAGCAAGAATAAGATCCCATCTCTAAAAATAACTGAGCATTGTGGCAGGTGCCTGTAGTCCCAGCTACTTGTGAGGCTGAGGCAAGAGAATCCCTTGAGCCCAAGAGTTTGAGGTTACTATGAGCTATGACACTATGGCACTCTACCAAGGGTGGCAAAGTGAGACTCTGTCTAAAAAAAAAAAAAAATTTGATGTGTATGTTTATTTCTGGACTCTCAATTCTATTCCATTGATCTATATGTCTATTCTTGTACCAGTACCACACTATCTGATCACCATTGCTTTGCAGTAAACTCTGAAATTGTGAAGTACAAAGTCCTTCTACTTTGTTCTTTTTAAGGATTATTTCGGCTATTGTAGGGCCCCTGCAATTCCCTATGAATTTTAGAATCAGCTTGTCAATTTTTGCACAGAAGTCAACTAGAATTCTGATAGGATTTGTGCTGAACCTGTCGATCAGTGTGGGGAATACTGCTACCCTAACAATGTTAGTCTTCCAATCTGCAAACATTTATTTTGCTTTTCCATTTATTCAGATTTTCTTTAACTTCTTTCAATGATGTTTAATGGTTTCAGAGTATAAATTTTGTACTTCTTTTGTTAAATTTATGCCCAAGTATTTAATTCTTCTTCATGCTATCATAAATGAAACTGGTCTATTGTTTTCTTAATCTTATTTTCAGGTTGGCTCTAAATTTTTTAAGTCAATGTAAATATAGAAATATGGGGCAGTGCCTGTGGCTCAGTGAGTAGGACACTGGCCCCATATACCAAGAGTGGCGGGTTCAAACCCAGCCCCAGCCAAACTGCAACGACAACAACAAAAAAAAAACAGCCATGCATTGTGGCAGGCACCTGTAGTCCCAGCTACTTGAGAGGCTGAGGCAAGAGAATCACCTAAGCCCAAGAGCTGGAGGTTGCTGTAAGTTGTAACGCCACAGTACTCTACCAAGGGCGACAAAATGAGACTCTGTCTCTTTTAAAAAAAAAAAAGAAATATGATTACCTCTAAGAGTCATGTTTAGAAGATTAAAAGAAAATTAATTTTCTAGAAGAAAAACAGTTTTTTCTAGTACTAAGAACTGTGAAAAATTTTCTGCTTTGTCCTATAAAGGAGATTCTGTTATATGACATACCACTTCCTCCACAATACCTCCAACAATAAATATTACACCCCAGAAACAGGTTTGAATCAAAATAACATGCAAGGGGCCAGGTGCGGTGGTTCATGCCTGTACTAGAACTCTGGGAGGCTGAGGCAGGTGGAATGCCTGAGCGCACAGATTCAAGACCAGCCTGAGCAAGAACGAGACCCCTCGTCTCTAAAAAAAAGCAGCCAGGAGTTGTGGCAGGTGCCTATTGTCCTAGCTACTCAGGAGGCTGAGACAAGAGAATCACTTGAGCCCAAGAGTTTGAGGTTGCTGTGAGCTATGACACCACAACACTCTACCAAAGATAACAAAGTGAGACTCTGTCTCAGTAAATAAATAAATAATTGGAAAGATCACCTCTATGGTCTGTCTTGCAAGGGTATAAGTGAATCTTTCTAAAACTAGAGTATAAATGTCTTAACACAATAACTAAGTAAATGACATAAAGTCTATGTTAACCAGTTTGATGAAAATATTTCAAATTGTATATGAAAACACTACACTGTACTCCGTGTTTGCATTAATGTACACAGCTATCATTTAATAAAAATAAATAAATAAATAAATAAATAACATGCAAGGCCTTTTTAAAAATATAGATGCTCTGGCCCTACTACATAAGATTTAAGAAAAAGGAGTGAACCCGGGCATATAAATTTAAAAAAAACACCTTATTCATGAGTGATTAATGCGTGCACTAGGGAATTCAGATCTATTAATAATTTCTATATTATGTTTTTCTTTAACTGTTTTTATATATAACATGGAAAAGTTTTTAAAGTGTATTAAATTTAAAAAAATAAGAAATATCTTGAACCATAGCAATTACATTTTCTTACTTACTAGGTGACTTGCTGAGGCTCATCTTCTCCATGGGTTTTGCTAGCTTGAGTTTCTTGATAAAGGTTCCACCAGGCTTATTAAATGGTTGCATCATTTTTCTCTTTATTCCTCTTGCAGCAGCAACTGTCACATTGGTGGGTTTGTTTTGATAGTCAACAACAATTCCAGGTCTATGAATGCTTCCAAAATCACCCATATGCTGTAAATTTGTGAAATCAAGAAATATTAGCATGTTGTCCAAAGATAAAAAGTGAATTCATACAAAATTTCCATGTTATCTATCTACTAATTTTCACCGAAAATTCCCTGGAATATAGCTACATTTTACATGTCCATTCTGAAAAAACACATTGCAAAACTTTGTATTATTACATGAACTCAAATCCATCAAATCAATATTTTTATTTCCAGTAGAACAAATAATGGGTATTTGCTACCTACTTTTTCATTTTTACAATTCAAAATTACTTGAGATCATAAACAACATATGTGCCTGTCAGAATGTTACCACTTGTACAACTCTCTGACAACTCCTCTTCAGAGTTCCTAATTGATGTTTTCCCATGAAAGACCTTGAAAGAAATCTTTATTTTACTAAAACTTGGCTTAAAACTAAAATACACAAAGAAGACCATATTTGTAGTTTGAAGTAAAAAAGATCCAGAAAACATTTAGTATTTCTCCCTGTTGAAAAAGGGAATGAGAAGGCGAGATGGAACATTAGTATGAAATAGGAGAGTTAAAGCATAACCATGCATCAACTTCCAAGACACACTTCAGATAAAGAATTGCATCTGACGTTCCATTCACATTCTTACCTAGAGAAACATATTCTGACCCCAAAACCTAAGAAGCAAAAGTTTACAGACGAAGAGTCATGCAACCAAATGACTCTTTATGTCCCTTCCTCTTCTCCTGTCATTAACAAAATCCACTACACCAAGAGGCCACGTGTCCATATAAATTTATTCTGCTAATCTTGCTTTTGGAAAATAAAGATTGAGGAGTAATCTGAAGAGAAGGACCCAATGGGAATTGTACAAGTGAAGATTTAAAATGAAGGTCCTATGGATTCATCTACTTCATTAACAGGAAGAAAGAAACCAAAGTCCATTTAGACTAGAATGGTAAATACAACGTGCAGGACTACTTGTTTTACTATCATAAAAACACTATTGATATTTGAAGTCTCATTAAGAAAAAAAATCCTCCTTTGCCTAAAATAATATACAGCACGGAAAATGTTAAGTGTTTTCCAAATTTTCAAACTGGAATGGATTTTCAATTTCCAAACCCAAAGCCAACCACTTTCAATTAACCTACAATCATTAAGTGTCATGGACGCAACCTATCAGATGCTTATACTTCTATATTATGCTTAGGAATACCTATCCAACCTAACAGTGTTTCCAGGTAACTTATATAGTCACATCAGAAAAGTCTTCATTAATTATCCATTAAAGGTGCAATGCATTTTTACATAAGCAAAGAGTAACTGTTAAAAATGCAAAATTGCTACACCAAGTATGACAGGCTATCCTGATATACCAAAGGTTACTAAACAGTCAAAAACGTGTACCCTGCTACATTTTTTTTTATCCTAAATACCTTCCTCTGCAAAGAGAATATTAAGAGCAACTGACTTTAAAAAAATTCTTACAATACAATACTCTTTAAATGATCAAACTACAAATAACTCCACACTCTACACACACTTATTAGGTAAAATTTCCACGTCAATCAAGTTACCTATGAACATAAAGCATAATCTTTACACTATATGCCCTAAAAGTAAACACTTGAAAACTACTAAATTTATCCATTTAAGCAATAATTTACAAAGTATTACTTCCTAAGAAAGAGCCATAAACATGTCTGTACAGGTAGGAAATTATAACTCAGTAGGAAAACTAGTGACACAGGGAAAATGAAACAACCAGGAAAAGGACATACTGTAAGAGAGTAAGTTAGGAAAATTACACTCAACACAAATCATTCTACAATCTGTCATACACATCAACTTTTTCACCACGTATATGTAGCTAAGCTGTCCTGATCACCAAGTTTAGTCTCTTTGTTTAATGTGAAACATGGAGCTTTGAAGAAATTCTATTTGCTAGAGTTTAGCAACAAAATATAAACATTTTATCATACATTGCACCTTTAACCTACTCAAAAATTCAAAAAGCCCTCAGTGACCCTTTCATAATAATCTAAGTACTGTCCCACCAGCAAAACTGCTAGTGTTTATAAGGAAAAATGCAACTCCTTTTAACCCCTTTTAGACCAAACCTAATGTCCTCACCTTTTTAATAAAGGGAGATTTGGCACACCTTTATGATTATCTCAAACTGCCACTTATTTTCTCAGGTGCTGAAAAAACTTTTACCATCAACCTAAAAATTACATTTATGACTCAGCTTTTGCTTCAAAATACACTGGGATGAACAGTGTTTACTCTAGTTGAAAACGATGGTCTTGAAAGGGTTTAAAAGAGTGACTAGTGAAAAGAATCTGAAAAGATTCTGTTGTACTTACTCCTCGGCCTCGGCCTCTGCCTGTTGATGGTCCTCCAAAAGCATCATAGTTTCTGCTTCCAAACGTACTTTCAGGATAAGCAGGCGTTCCTCTCCCCCGAGAGCCTACAGGTGCAGGCTTCATATGGGGTGAAGAAAAACTGCTGTAGGAAGAGTAATTCTCTCTTCCTCTGTCCTCCATAAACCCAGGCCTCAATTTTGAACGGGAGTAAGGTGCTTCCCAGCTAGCCCCGCCCTGGTTTCTACCTCCGAAAGAGTCAAGGCTATTCCGGTAGGAGCTCTCAAATCGACCACCATAACTACCTCCGAAGCGGCTTTGTTCGGGTTCATTAAAACCATAGCCAGATCTGTACAGATCTCGCCCACCCAGAGAAGACCTGGAGTCGTAAGACTCATAAGGTCCAAACCTGGAAAAGTTGCACAGTGAGGGAAAAAACAAAAGTAAGCTTACTAATGTTAGACAATTCAAAAGACAAATTATCAGATGACATTTATCAACTAAAATTCATTTATATCATACTGCTTTGCACTCTACTTTTGTTTACACTTGATTAGGGCTGGGCAGTTCAACATGAGACCAGATAGAAAGCTATCTGAGTCAAGTTCTAAATAGGAATTGCGTTTAGTAAACCTTAGCTTAAAAATCTGCTTTTTAGCAGCTTTTCTATTTTATTAAGAAGAAAAGATTTGCCTGTCATTATTTAAGCCCAGCCCTAGTCTTGGAAAAAGGTCATTTGCTCAAGTTCACAAGGTATTCAAACTTTCTTTGAATCCATCCCTACTATTAAGAATTACAAAACATTTACAATATTTTGGCTTTCAAAGGGACACAAATTAAGGACTACATAGATGAAGGCTCTTTGTGACACAGAGAGATCTTTTGCACCCCCAATAATCTATATCACAAAACTGCTTCATTTTGTCTGTAGTAGTCAGAATTTGAGGAATTATCTCTGGTTATAAGAATTTGACAATCTGCCAAGCTTCAGCCAAGGTTAATAAACAATCCTCAATCACTTTTTATTTATAGACTAGAAAATCTAACAAATCTAGAAGGATAAACACATAAAATGAAACACAAAAGTAAAAGATCACCGACATATGTGTATACCCTCCGCATATAAATTTCAAGGCAGATGAGAAAGAATACATTAATAATGTCTTCAATTATTTGAAAAATTATTTCCTGCCAGGAAATTATCACATAAAACTACTCTAAAAAAGAGAGCACAGTCTCCTTAAGGTTTTAATAGAGACAACAAAAGAAACAAATCATCTTACTTCTCACAAACCCAAAGCATGGATTACAAAAGTTACTTGAGGTCTTACAACAGTTTTATAAAGGCTCACAATTACACGAGATAAAACAGTTAACATCTACAGAAACAGTTTATGCACATTATATTTACAATGTAATAGGGCAATAAGTAATATATTAAAACATGTAAATGTATTACATTACTTCAGTTATTTACAGATCACTAAACAGAAGGTGTACCATTTACTTCTGAATCCTTATAACCATATAAAAATTATTTCTTTTCAACTACATTTTTCAAAACATCTCTCACATAAATAAAATTGTAATAATTATTCATTCTATTGATTTTTCTCTACTAAAAACCATAGTGGCCACTGGAAGCAGAAAGGAAGAAAGTAAGCATCAGTCAGTCCATCATTAAGGAATCTGGATCCTTCAATTTATGAAGAAGGACGACGGTGTCAAATGTCTCCTAACTAGTTTTATTTATATTCAGCAGGAATCTTTGTACCTCATAGACACCCTTTTCCTGAAAATATGGTCAACCATAGAGCCTGTAGTTGTTTAAGTAGGTTTAAGCTTTACACAGTATCAACAGTGAAATACGTAGTATAAATACAACCTAGACTATAGTCAAAGGTATTGTTCATGGCTTTAATACAATGCTCCTAGCCTAGAGCACACGTGTTTTTAGTGTAAATAGTACCTGCCAATAAATAACCTGGACATGACTTCACATTTTTATTTTTACAATATGCTCTTCCTAATATAAAATATAATACCTATATTAAATGTTTCTTAGAAATGGAATGCTGCTAGAATGATTCACTTAGGTCCATTCGAGTCAGAGTGTTTTGTTGCTTTATATAGCATCCCACATTAGGAAAGGTTTATTATTATTATTACTATCATTATGAAGAAAAAGCTTCACAAATAATATTTTCAATAACATATTTCTATATCATTTGTTCAGGACATTTTGATTGATGAGGAGCTAAAAGTAAAAGAAGTTGACCCCTAAAAACAGTATCTTTTTTAAAAAGATAGCCTTTTGGGGGTTTGCCTAATATAATGTTTGCCAGTAATCCTGAGATAAATTCTTATACCTATTAACACCTTTAAACATTTAACGTGATTATTCAGTACCCATCAATGAAGTTCAAGTATCATAACATGCCTAAGAAATACTTAAAATACTATATCCACAATCTTATAGTTATCTAATTATTTGGCCAAGTGATTAAGCAATTTACCTGCTACCCCCACCACCACCACTGTGATTGTCCATGCCATATGACTGGTTTAGGTAGGAATCCATGGATCTTTGACCCCCATAGGATCCATGGCCATAGTCACGATCCATCCCTATAAGAGTTTAAAAAGAAAAAAATTAAAAAATGCTCACCTTTACTGGCACTCAAAAGAAGAATTTTTAGATAAATATCCTTGAATGTCAGACCTCCATAAGATCCAGGACCATAGTCACGATCCATTCCTAAAAGAGAGTAAAGAATTGTCAGTAAAATACCCTATTATCTTAAAGAATTTCTGCATAAAACATAAGCTTTTCACATCAATCACCTGAGATAACAATTCATCATTAACATTTAAACTAAATTCACGTGAGACATTGAGGTAAAAAACACGAAGAGGATAAAATACTGAAAAATCAGAATTGCTAATGAAGCCTGGTATTTCAAAGCAAATATATTATCCAACTTTTACATAAGAATTATTTTCAATTTAACCAATATTAATTAGACTACAGAACTACTAAAAGGCCTTGTATTAGGTACTATAGCATATGTAAAAATAATTAAGGAAAAATTTTTGTCATAAATATACTATACTTGTTTTCTGCATCTAATTGCTCTCAAAATGTCTGAAAACTCAGAAATCACATTTTCAATTAGCCATATCCATAGTAACTAAAAGAGATATTTTTTCAAAGTAAAATCAGACTGAGACTTTGCCTACAAATAATAAGAACAAGTATTTAATCCTCTAATTCCCTTGAATAAAGAAAATGAATATACATTCTAACAATGTGAACACTATAAAAATTCCTAATACAATATTATTGTATATTTTATTACACTGCAATTCTACCTATATCCAACTCTGACATGAGAAATAAATACATCAAAAGAGGTAACAAAGTTAATTTACGATGACCATAAAATTAAAAAATTATGGAATTGTTTCCTATGAAGTGCTTTAAAATCCTTCATTACTACCCCCTGAATTGTATGGATAAATAAATATAATAAATAGTGTACCCAGGGGAAATACCTTAATTTACATTTTTTAAAACACTAAATTAGGCCAGGCACAGTGGCTCATACCTGTAATACTAGCACTCTAGGAGGCCAAGGCGGGTGGATAGCTTGAGCTCATGAGTTCAAGACTAGCCTGAACAAAAGCCAGACCCCCATCTCTACTAAAAATAGAAAAACTAAGGCAAGAGGATTGCTTTAGCCCAAGAGTGGAGGTTGCTGGGAGCTATGACACCATAGCACTCTACCGAGGGCATCAAAGTGAAAATCCATCTCAAAATAAATAAATAGATAGATAAATAAATAATAAAAACACTAAATTTTATTTATAATCATTTAAATATTTCTAGTCCTAACAAAAATAATGACAACTTTTTTAAGCTGGTGGGTTCAAATCCAGTCCAGGCCTGCCAAACAATGATAACAATTACAACCAAAAAATTACCAGCGTTATGGCGGGCACCTGTAGTCCCAGCTACTTGGGAGGCTGAGGCAAGAGAAGTGCTTAAGCCCAAGAGTTGGGAGGGCACAAAGTGAGACTTTGTCTCAAAAAAAAAAAAAAATCTTAAGTGAAGATGACATTTTTATTTTATTATTTTTTACTGTGACTGATATTAAAGAATATAATGACTAGTATAGTCTGGTGCCACTGCCTTGATTTTTGCTAAAGTACCAGCAGTTTTACCCACTAATGTTTTTATGTATTCAAGGCAATGCCAAACTTGAAAAAGGCAAATACTGTTCTGATATTTCAGTGTTTTTTGTTTTGTTTTGTTTTGTTTTGAGACAGAGTCTCAAGCTGGCAACCTGAGTAGAGTGCTGTGGCGTCCCATCATAGCTCACAGCAACCTCCAACTCTTAGGCTCTAGAGATTCTCTTGCATCAGTTTTTCTATTGTTAGTAGAGATGGGGTCTTGCTTTTTGCTAAGGCTGGTCTCAAATCTGTGAGCTCAAGCTATTCACCCACCTAAGCCTCCCAGAGTGCTAAGATTAGAGGCATGACCCACCACACTCAGCAATAGTTTTGACCTTGTGAATCTCTGAATGGATCTCAGCAACTCTCAGTGGTCAGGAGACTACTTCTTGAAAACTGCTGCTCTAAGATATATAGAAAAACTAATAACAATCAAACCCTTAACACAAGACTAGTGTAAATTTAAGATGAAACCACCAAAAAATAGAATATAAGGCAGAGTATCATAAATTCCATATAAGAGTTACAGGCTTTTGTAAATATTCAGAACCATGGTGATACACAGCCGAGAGAATCTCAATAAGTTTTCTTGAATTCACTTTTTTAAATGGACTTTAAAAGATCAGAATATTTCAATAAGCAGGTATTTGAGGTAGTAAAAGGAAAGGTCTCATGTAGAAATGAAAGCATGAGGCTAGAAGGAGGGTAACTACGGGATATTGGGAAAATCATTTCCTCTCTTTGGATTTTAGTTCCCAAATCAATGAAGTGGGAAGACTGAATTTGTTGATTTAAGGTTGTTGCCAATAATAAAATAATTGCTTTCAAGTGAAAATTAGAATTCTCTAAACTTTGACCATCTTGAGCTTGACAGCTTCCCAAAGCTTTTTTCTGGTAAGATTTGTGATGGTATCAATGAATATTTTTTTTTATACTGCAAAATATTTGAGAAATCTGCTGGGCACAGTGCATTCCGGGAGGTTAAGGTGAGTGGACTGCATGAGCTCAAAAGTTCAAGAACACCCTGAGCAAGAGTGAGACCCTGTCTAAAAAAAAAAATTAGAAAACTCTGCATAACTCAGTTTCCAAATAACTGATGCCTGATATTACTGTTTTAAAAAAAAAAAAAAGCATTCAAAGTATAAGACACATCAATGGATTTTAATAAGAGTACAAAAAGTTGGCTCAGCACCAGTTTAGCTTTAGCACTAAGCTAAAGTTGGCTTAGCTCAACTGGCTAAGGCACCAGCCACATACACCTAAGGTGGTGGGTTCAAATCCAGCCCGGGCCGCCAAAACAACAATGACGGCTGCAACCAACAAATAGCCGGGCGTTGTGGCAGGCGCCTG